GTTGGTGAAAGGGCTGGAGGGAGGCAGCATGTCTGGCCTCACAGGAATAGGCCTTGGGCTATTGATGGTGATTCTGTCTTCCTCTTGTGGGATTAGAGGAGGTCAGAACATGTGGCTTCCTTGCCCATTTAGCACCCTCCAACAATCTTACATCTCTTTTCTTTTCACAGACCAATGGCAAGAGTCACTTCTGGGCAAACCCAGGCTAGGCCCACCCAGTGACAAAGGCTTTTCACATACTTTACGCTCAAATTCCTCCTGGCGTTTCAAGACATCCTGACAGTAGTTCTCAAGGGTTCTGCGTCTGTGTCTCTCTTGCTCCCGGGCAGTCTGTTGCTTCTCTCTCATCTCCTCCACCTAACAAGGGAACATACACTGAGACCAAGAGTAACAGGGAAGGGGTGACAGAGAAAAAATAAATGTCACATGGCAGAGGTGTGAGGAACAGAGATACAGGGAGAGAGTAGATATGACAGCAGGACTGAGAGACATAGGATTTGAGAGAAAAGAAACAAAAACAGAGATGAAAGAAGAGAAAGAGTGGCAGAGAAAAAAAGGTTTGCGTGAGGCTGAAAGAATACATTCTAGGCAGAGGAAATAATTTAAGATCACTGGTGAAGGGAAGAGGTAACTATGGGGAGCAAGTGGGAGGGCAGCTGTTGCATTATGGGCAATTTCAGTCAATGTCATGAGACAAAGTGTATGTGAGCTGCTGTATGGAAAGTGAATTTGCTCTGTAAACTTTCACCAAAATCACATTTTTTAAAAAAAAAGATCACTGGTGAAAAGAGGACAAGGACATGAGATACTCTATCACTTAAGTACCAGGAAAAGAAAAGAACAGCAAAAGGAAACAGAAAAAGGTAAGTCAAAGAGTAAAGAACATATCCAGGAGAGTGAGATGACAGGAAAGTCAAAGTGAGAACATTTCAAGGAAAGCAAGATCTCAAATTGTGAGAGTTTAGATGAGAGAGAAAAACAACCTATAGTTGTGATGTCAGGGAATGCACTATTGATGCTGGCAAGTACAGTTTCAGTGGAGCAATGAGAGCATAATCCAGACAGCAATGGACTTGGAGGGGAGGAGTAAGTGAACAGATATATACCAAATCAATATCAACAACAACCCTAACAACCTTGGCCTTTTCCTTCTAGTCAGCACTTTGGCAGACCTGGCATGCAAGCCAGGTCTTATCCCTCCCTCAAGGTAAAGGGCTTACTCTTTTTTGCTTTAATTCTCTCTCCCGATTGGCATGATCACTGGAGTAAACAAGTTGGGGAGTGGAGGTTACTTTGCAGACTGCTTTCTTCCAATTCTGCTTTGCAGGCTGGTCACCACATGACAGAAAAAAAAAAACTTGAGTTAATGAATGCACAGAAACCACTCCCCCTGCCCCCCCCAAGTTAAAGCTGCTCAGAGAAGTGTGGCTGTGGGGGGGAAAGAAAGGACTGGAAAAGGCAAAAAGAAGGGCTCTGTTCCCTGAGATCTATCCATCTGATTGGGGATAGACCCAGTGTCAGGTTATTTGATAAGGTTAAGCATGGGCTAACTTGTGCTTACTAATCTATAGTGAACAATTTCACGTGGGTTTCACCAGATTAGATTAGTAAACACAAGTAAGCCCGTGCTTACCTTGCTTATAGGGCAATCCACCCCTGGAGAGACTCTCACCCCTAGCCAGGCAGGGTACTGACCAAAGAACTTCAGGTCAGTGAGTGGGAATAGGAGGGAGACACCTGGGAAGGTTTCCCAAGTGAAGGATTAGGGAAAAGCTTTTTAAACAAGCTGTTCTCAAAGTATGGTCCTTAGACCACCAGCAGCAGCATCACCTGGAAACTTGTTAGAAACAGAAATCCTTGGATATAACAGATCTCCTGAATCAGAAACTCAGAGATACCACTCATAACTGTTTTAACCAGTCCTGCAAATAAGAGGACTAAATAGAGGGCTAAAGTTTGTGAACCACTTCTATAGTCCAATTCTTACTTGTCCACACCTTTCCCAGCAGGACCAGGAGATCCTAGAGTTGAGGCCAAAGATCATGTGCAGTCTCCCTCCTTTCCATGAGAAACAAGGATGTGGGAATCAGACAGACTCAAGTCCTAGTCATGTTACATGGAACCTAGAAATTTTCTCCCTGAGGCTGTATCTTCATCTAAAATATGTTGTTAGCTGCCATCAAGTAGATGCCGACTCATGGGGACCCCGTGTATACAGAGTAGAGCTGTGCTCAATAGGGTTTCCGAGGTCATGACCTTTCAGAAACAAATCACCAGGCCTGTCTTCCCAGTTGCCTCTGGGTGAGTTGAACTGCCAACTTTCAGCTAGCAGTCGAGTGCTAAACTGTTTGTTTCACCCAGGGAATCCAGTCTAAAATATAGGGATGATAATAATCCCTATCAAGGCAAATCAATCACAAAGCAGCATATGGCTTATGGTAATAAATAAATAAATGCTGCTGTACCCACCAGACCAGAGGGAAAATCATATCATCTGGTTCCAATATAGTGCTCTGTCCAGGCACCCAACACCTACTTGTTTTTTGTGGGCTTCTCCCAGGGCATGCAATATGTTCCTAACCTTACCAAAAACAATGGGCACACCTTACCTGAAGCCAACTTACCTTCTTAAAGCCTTTGGAACCTTTACCTGGCTTTTTATTTTCTACAAATAAGGAGAAAAATAAGCCATCATTCAACTACCCAATATTTGCTGACATTTTAATCAAGGCCATGCCACATTAAAAATCTAAAGAAGCTTCATATCCTGTGTTTGTCTAGGCCTGGCACAATATTGAGCTGTAGATAGCAATGACAGTGTCAGGGAAAGTACAAGATACAATATTTGGAGTATTGTTCCAAAGTAAATTCAAACAATTCCTTTTTTTATACATATATTTAAATATTTTGTTTATTAGGTTTTTTTTTTGTGCTTTAGGTGCAAGTTTACAGAGCAGAGTTTGTTTTACATTCAACATTTTGTGTACATTTGGTTTCACTCTCCAATTACCATCCCCAACCCTAACCTACTCTCCTCCCCTCCCTTCCCAATAAACCACCCCCCATGCCCCTCATAGTTATGCACTCCTGTGTGTCCTCCATTTCCTCCCTGCGAATATTTCCCCTCTGGTGCCCTGTGGTCAATTGCTCCAAGGGATGCACCTCCATAGAGGATGTGGGTGCGTCACCCTGGGTTGAGTGGTCTGCATGTATGTCTTATTTACTATTGGGCTGAGACCCAGCCCCTGGGAGTGGAACATGCAAACAATTCTTAAGGGAATGTGTGTCAACTTG